ACTATTATAATTAAATGTTTAAAACTTACAGGTAAAATTAAACTTGTATAATTTGTAGAAATATTTGCAAGATAACCATAATTAAGAAAAGGTCTTTCTTTTGTCCATTCTGGGAATTTTGGTAATGATTTAATTGATGGTGAAGTTTTTTTAGTTATTAAATAGGGAGGACTAAATTTCTCTAGATTTTTTAATCTTTGGATATTTTTCAATTCTCTCAATGTTCTTGGTGATAAATTCATATTTTCACCATATTCATCATCATCATCGTCGTCATCGCTACTATCAATATCAGGTTCATTTAATTTCTTTTGTTGCTTTTTTAATTGACTTAATTGTTCATTTTGTAATATTTTCATTTCTTCAATGTGTTTTTGTTGTAATAACTCTAATTCATGTTGCTGTTTTAAATTATTAATTATATTATTGTTGGTGGTTGTTGTATTTGAATTATTTATGAAATTATCAAGAATATTATTTGTTGGATAATTATAATTATTATTAAATATAGTGCCGCCACTATTTCCACTTGTATTATTCATATTACTTATTCTGTTATTATTTTCTTTAAGAACTATATCCTCCTTTAAATATTTTGAATGTTGTGTTGATGTTGTAGTTGTTGCTTTGGTTGTTATAGTTGGTGGTGGTGCTGATGTTGTTGTTGTTGCTGCTGCTGCTGCCGTATTTTTTATTCCATTCATACCTATTGTCGATGCTTGTGACTGTGGTTTTATTAAATTATTGAATGTAGGTGGTTGTGTTGATGCGTTTGTTGTGTTTGTAGTGTTTATTGGGTTTGTAGTATTTGTTAGGTTTGTGTTTGTATTTGTATTTGTAGGTTTTGTACTATTATTATTTTGTGAAGTTAAAGAATTAACCTTAGCTTTGTTTGATGAAGATGATGAAGACGAAGGTAATGAATTTGATGGCTGTTTTGTTGTATTCATGGTAGTAGATGGTTTAGAATTTGAGGAAGATGTAATTGGCTTTTGTTTATTTACAGGTGGTGGTGTACTAATTATATTATTATTAAATAAAGTTGAAGGTTTTGTATTGTTATTATCACTATTTATTGTGTTTAAGGTGCTAATTGGTTTGTTATTATTATCATTATTGGTATTATTATTACTATTATTATTATTATTATTATTATTATTATTATTATTACTATTATTTATAATCCCATTTATTTGATTATTTGATAATGGATTCGATTGTTTTACATTCTTTAATGCTTGTTGTTGCTGTTGTAATTGCTGCTGTTGTAATTGCTGTTGCGCAACTTGGGGTTGGGATTGGGGTTGGGGTTGCAACCTGTTATTTAAATTTATATTTAAATTTGGTTGGTTTGGTTTCATTTTAATTTATTTTTTTGTTTTTAAGTTCAAAAAAAAAAAATTATGTGGATATATTTTTATTTTTAAATTTTGCTGTTATAGCATTTGATGAACATGGATTTAAAAAAAAAAATAAAAAAAAAAATTAAAAATAAAAAAAAAAAAATAAAAAAATAAAAAAAATGGCGCGCCAAAATAGAAATTAATAAAAAAAATTATTGAAAAAAACATTTTAAATTTTTTTAAAAACAATAACACACATAGACCTTTAAAAGAAAAAAAAAACATAGTTTGGAGAAATTTTAAATTTTTTTTAATAAATAAAACTAATATAGTTAAATTTTTTTTCAAAACTTTTTTTTTTATTTTTTAAAAGTTTTTGAAAAATTTAACTACATTTGAAAAAATAAAATAATAAATGCACCAAATTTGGTTTTTTTTTTTTTTTTTTTCTTTTTTTCTTGATTACACAATAAATTATATTTATCTGAGTCTCAAATTTCATTATTATCTATTATTTATTTTTTTTTTTTTCTTTTTAAAAAATTATGAGGTGTGTGATACAATCAAAGTACCGACTAAAATGGCAGTTAAATGCTTTCAAGTCAGTGTTTTACCATACATGTAAAGATTTTTCTCGGGCACAGGAACGACTCTATTCAATTTGTTTTAAAATAGAGTATTTGTGCACCCAATTAATATGAGTGAATCTCATAATAAGACCCAACCTCCACAACTATAATCTTTCCCTTGCCAATAATTGTGGGACCATTATTTAAAAAACCAGATTTTTTTAAACAGTTGACCTCAATTTTTTAATTTTTTTTTTAGAGCCAAAAAATAAAATTTTGGTGTTGAAATCGTTTCAAAAAAAAAATAAAAAATAAAAAAAAATTAAAAAATAAATAAAAAAACATAGGTTTCAATTGATTTACATATTAATTTTAAATCACTTTTTCTTATTTTTTTTTTTTTTTTTTTGTTTGTTATTATCACATTTTTTATCATTTTCATTTTTTATTAATTTTTATTTTTCAACAGTGTGTTTGTAAAATGAACAAAAAAAAAAAAAAAAAAAGTATAATAATTAAAAAAAAGAAAAAAAGTAACCACACAAATTTGGTTTTGTGTTTTTCTCAGGATCTTTAAAATTCAAAGAATAATACACATATTATTAAAAATATTATTCTATTTTTTTTTTTTTTTTTTTTTTTTTTTAAAATATTTTTTTATTTGATAAATATTATTTTAACCAATTAAAAATTAGAAAAAGATAAAAAAAGAAATAATAAATTAATAAAATAATAAAATAGTAGAAAAAAAAAAAAAAAAAAAAAAAAACTATATCATAAAATGACAGCAATTACAAAAACAAAAATATTAACAACTATGTTTTTAAAAAAAAGAAAAAGCAGAAATTATACTGGCAGATTCCCATCATTAGGTCGAAGGGTGGAATATAGAACTATGAACTCTGAAGTTAGGATAGCGACTCTCCAAAATAATGACTCACAAATACAACCAGTCACCTAACTTTTTTTTTTTTTTTTTAAAAATTATTCAAACTTATAATATTTATTCTTTTTATTATTAATAAACACGAAAAACATTTTAATTTAAAGAATTGTTAATCCACCTAAACGGATATTTTATGATTTTACTCTATTTTAAAAAAAAAAAAAACTGCTAGTTTTGAAGTTACAGAATAAATATGTTATGTTGTTATTTTATTATTATTATTTTTTTTTTTTAAAATTGTTTATTTTATTATTATTATTATTATTATTATTATTATTATTATTATTATTATTATTATTATTATTATTATTATTATTATTATTATTATTATTATTATTATTATTATTATTATTATTTAAGCTTGGAAAGAAGATAATAAATCACTAGTTTCTTCCCAAAGTGCAGCAGCTTGTTTATAGAAAGCCAATTGTTGTAAAGTGTATTCACGTAATTCTTCGACCAATTGTTTATTCATTTCTTGATTTAAATTATCCATAGTTTGAGTGAATTCAGCGGTGACAGTATCATATTCAACTTTGATTTCATTACATTCATTCTCTAAACCTTTAACTTTTAATGAGTTTGCATCGTTCTTCTTTTTGGCTTCTTGTAATTTCTCCAATGCAGTATCGTAACGAATACGAATTTGATCCTGTTTATGTTTGGAATCTCTTGCTTTTTTAATCTCTGTATCTTGGAATTTACCGACTGGATTAATTAATGATTGAACTGAATTCACATTACAACTTTGACGTGCTTGTTCAACGGATTTCAATTGAACACCAACATTCTTTAATGCCTCACTAACTTGTTCGTTCGATACAAATCCTGTTCCAAATTGTGCCAATGCATCTGCAAATTGTGATCCTTGCTGTGTTGATTCTGAATTTAGAATAAAAACAAATAATAAATGAATAAATGAATAAATAAATGAATAAATGAATAGATAAATAAATAAATAAAAATAATCATTAATAAATGAATTAAGATTTTTATATGATTTTATAAAAAATAATAAATAATAATTTACTTTCAGTTTCTTGAGCATAAATTTTACCAACTGTATAGATTTGAGCGTATTCAGTTTTAATGGCTCTTAATTTTTCTTTTTGTTCTTTGGTTGCATCATTATCTGCATGTGATTCAGTTTTGCCCATTTTCTCCATGGTTTGTTGTTTAACTTCTGCTAATTTCTTTGTAAAGTTCTTCATTTTGTTATATTATTTTTATTTATATATATATTTTGTTTATATTATATTGAAAAAAGTTGGATAGAGGGTACACAAGTATTATATTTTGTAAAGTATAAATCTAACGTGAGGGTTATATTAAAAAAATAAAATTAAAAAAAGAAAAAAAAAAAATTCAATTTTTTTTAATTTCATAGTTTACCACCTTGGTGGTGTGAAATTAATTTTTTTTTTTTTTTTTTTTTTTTTTTTTTTTTTATTTTTTTTATTATTTTTCAAATAAAAAATTCATTTTGGTTACAGTAAAAAAAAAAAATAAAAAAAAAAAAAAAAATAAAAACTAATTTTTATAAGTTATCGACCAAAAAAGAAAAAAAAAAAAATAAATTATAACTATATAAATTATTTTTTTTCATCCTTAATTGTTTTTTTTTATTTTTTTTTTTTAAAAAATCAACACTTATAATTTTTTTTTAATTTAAAATTAATTTTTTTAACGTACTTAGTTTTTTTTCACTTGGTTGATTTTTTTATTTATTTTTTTATTTCTTTTTTTTAATAACCTTATCCAATTGGATGTGCCCAAATCATATTTTATTTGATTTAATTATAGTATACTATTATTATTATTGTTTTTTTTTTTATTTTTTTTTTTTATATATAGTTGGTATTATATGGTCAATATTCCTCTAGATATTTTCATAGTTGAATTTTTATATATTTAGAGTTCCGGGTATGACTGAATTTTTCTTATTTTTCATTATTATTTTCTTGCGGATTAAAGTTTTTTTAGATTCATTCTTATTTGTCGAATAATTATTTTGATTAATTTGTTCCACTCGGCACTTTTAAAAGTGATTCGTTTTAAAATTATAGATGTTTAATATTGAAATTTTATAATTAATTTTTTTAAAGTCTTATTCAGCTATATATTTTTGAAAACATTGTACAGGCCCGTGTCGTATAGTGGTTATTATATCTGTCTTGTACCTAGTACTAATGCGATAACAGAGGGTCCTCAGTTCGATTCTGAGCTCGGGCATTTTTTTTTACCGACCACCATATGGTCGTGGGTTCGACTCCCGTATTAAACAACAAGTGCCGTTAATTACGATTAATACACCGGGGGCTTAACGTAGTGGTTCCACGCTGAATCACAAGCATCCTTGGCCAAGACCTTAGGTTCGAGTCTTGGCCATACCACGAAGTAACGTGGTCATAATTAAACACCATTATTGGAGGCTATATGTAGTGGTTCTGCGCTGAATCACACAGTCTCCGTGGCCTTGGTTCGAGCTTTAGGTCATACCACCAAGTAAGTGGGTCATAAATTACACACCTCATAATCAACCGAAAAAAAGCTCGAATTCCAAAAAAACAACAACAAAAAAACATGGTGATTAGAAATTCTAATCCCAATAATATAAAAAAAAAAAAAAAATAAAAAAATAAAAAAAAAAAAAAAGATTAATACACAAGACGAGCTACAAGATACTAGTCTGTATTAACACCGCCAATAGATCTTGCTGCTTATCATAGGTAAAAAGGGTGTTTTACCCATGGGTTTTGTGGGACCTGTTTTCAATTTTTTTTCCATATGTGATTGTTTTTTTTTATTTTTATGGAACAGAAATTTGCTATTTGTAAAAAGTTCATTTAAAATTTAGGGATAGGGTTTAAAAGAGTGGTGGTTTTAATAAATAATAAAAGGTGCCACTTGTTTGTTAACAATTCAAAATCCAGATTGGTTTCTTATAAATCTTTTTTTTTTTTTTTTTTTTAATATTATTGGGATTAGAATTTCTAATCACCATGTTTTTTTGTTGTTGTTTTTTTGGAATTCGAGCTTTTTTCCGGTAGATTATGAGGTGTGTTATTTTTGACCACGTTGGTATTTTTTAAGGCAGGATTTTTTTTTTTTTTACCTATTCAAGGGTTGCGCCTTGAGACGGTTTTCCGTTAGGAGGCGAGTGGGAATCGAACATCGTGTCTGGTAGGTTGCCTGTTCTATATAATTGATACAATTTATATAATCACCGACGGGCAGAGCTATATTTCCAGACCTGTTTTTTTATGCTAACGAGTCGTATGGGGTTCGAACTCGGAACTGGCAGGTTACACTGTCTATGGCTTTGACCAGCAGGGCTGAGCGTCCAGTTTTTTTAAGGCAGGAGGGAGTCGAACCCACGACCAAATGGTGGGGGGGGGAAAAATGCCCGAGCTCAGAATCGAACTGAGGACCCTCTGTTATCGCATTAGTACTAGGTACAAGACAGATATAATAACCACTATACGACACGGGCTTTTGAAATTTCGCCAAAATATATAGCTGAATAAGACTTCAAAAAATATTATAATTTTATGCAATTTTTACCAGTTTATAACGTGTTAAAGATATTTTGTTTGGACGAAGATTCTAGATCAAGATATTAAAACAATAAGATTCAGTAAAATTGAAACCTTAAAAAATATAAACTTGAATACATACAAACATATCAATTAACAAATTCTTTAGTTGAAAAAAAAAAAAGATTATTTATAAAAGCTTAATCAGAAAAATTGCAATTCAATTTTAATCAATTCCATCGAAAATCCATTTAGATAATATAAAAAAGCTAATATTAACCCCAGTTAAAACTGTTTGAAACCACAGTCATTCAACCAACGTACCACTGTATTGTTTTGTATTTCACATAAAAAATAACCAAAAATGTTCCAATTATATAAAAAATAAATCCTTCGAATGGGACAAAGATCAGTAATACAAATATTAATAACTAATATTTTTTTTTTAATATATTGAAATGAAATTAAAAAGAATAGTAAAAAAAATATACCCATAAGTTTTAAACTTAGAACATTCGAGTTAGTTGTTGATTAAAAAAAAAAAAAAAAAAAGAATAAAAAATAAAAAAACAACTATAATTTATTTAATATATATTAATTTATTTAATTTAATTTGAAAAATATAAATTTTTAATAGTATCTTTTGAAATGATCATACGGACATGTGGAATACCAGCTTCATAAAAGATTGGAATATTTTTATCAGTTTCAAAACCGAGTGATTGATAGAATTTTTCAACATATTGTTGAGCATTAATCATGAATAATGGGTAATCAGTATTTTGATCAATGTTTGTTTTTTGATAAATTTCTTGAATCACTTTTTTTACCAATTCTTTACCATAGTTTTTACCTCTAAATTGTTTTAAAACTGCGAATCTTTCCATCTTTATAACATCACAATCCATATTACCTTCATAATCTGGATAATAAATCTTTCTCCATCTAGCACATCCAACTGAATCACCATTAATTTTTAATAATAAATGTTTTGATTTTTCATCATATTCATCCCATTCCTCTTCCTCTGGACATGTTTGTTCTACTACAAAAACATCATATCTAATCTTTCTAATATCTTTAAATATCTCTGTATTAATTTCTGTTGATATTAATAATGATTCAATTTTTGATTCTACCATTTTATATTTATAATTATTTTTGAGAAAACAAAGAAAAGAAAAAAAAAAAAAAAAAAAAAAAAAAAAATACTAAAAGAAAATTAAAAAATTTTTAATTTAAAAAAAAAAAAAAAAAATCAAAAAATCAAAAAAAAAAAAATTTTATTTTTAAAAAACGAAAAAAAGCTATCGTTTTTTTTTTTTTTTTTTTTTTTTTCTCAAAAATAATCTTTTTTTTTTTTTTTTTTTTTTTTAATTTTTCAAAAACACCACAATATATATATAAATATTTTAAAGATAAAAATGGTAAAACCAAAAAAAGAAGTTGATAAAGATGATTTAACAGCAGAAGAATTAAAATTAAGAAGATCACCAGCAGATATAAAATGTAAAGCTAAAAGAGTATTATTAGTACAAAAACTTCAAGCAGCAAAAAAAACGGCAAGAGAAAAAGCCAGAAAACAAAGAAAGAAGGAAAGAGAGGTATTAGGAGATGCAGCACCAGAAAAAGAAGTACCAAGAACCATTGAATCAATGAGAAGATCTGATGAAACCATTGTAGACACAGAGAATGATAAAGAGTTTGAAGAAGAGATTAATAAGGATGAATATGAATCCTATTTCGATGGTAAACCACCAAAAATCGTTGTCACAACAAATCAAAAAGCCACTAAAAATGCTGTTGACCTTGCTCAAGTATTTCCAAAATTATTACCAAATTGTGAATTCTTTCATCGTAGAAAATATCATTTAAAAGAAATAGTTGAATTTTGTAATAATAGAGAATATACTGATATTATTGTTATAAATGAAACAAAAGGTGTTATAGGTATGTCATTAATAATAATATATATATATATATATATATATATATATATTTTTTTTACAAAATTAATTTTATTAACAATTTTATTATTATTATTACTATTATTTAGATGAATTGACAATATCACATTTACCAAATGGACCAACAGCAGTATTTAGATTAACAAATTTAGTAATGCCAGAGGATATACCAGGTGGTGGAGAGATGACATCACATAAAGCAGAATTAATTGTTAATAATTTTACAACACGTTTAGGTCATACAATTGGTAGAATGTTTGCATCAATGTTTGCACAAGATCCAAATTTTAAAGGTCGTAGAGTTTGTACACTTCATAATCAACGTGATTTCATATTTTTTAGACAACATCGTTATATTTTCGAATCAAAAAGTGAAGCAAATGTTCAAGAATTGGGTCCACGTTTCACTCTTAAATTAAAATCACTTCAAAAAGGTTCTTTCAATACTTCAACTGGTGAATATATTCATCTTCATCAACATAATATGGATGTTGACAGAAAGAAATTTGTTTTATAAATTATAATAAAAAAAATAAAAATAAAAAAAATATTAAAAAAAATAAACAATCACAAAAATAAAATTATTTTTTGGTGGAAAGTGGACTAATTATTTTTTTAAAACTCACCCTAACATCAAAAAGTACTGTCTGTTTTTTTTTTTATTTTTTTTTTTTTATTTATTTTAATCAAACATTTTACTATATGCTTTTGCTTCAATTTTTTTGAAATCACTTAATTTTTGTTTGCAAAGGTTTAATTCTGCTATAATTTCTTTATCATTAGGAGAGATACTGAGTGCTTTTTTTAAATCTTCTTCAGCATGTATGTATTGTTTTTCAGAAACTAAACATTTACCTCTTCTATATAATGCTTTGACATTGTTTGGTTCGCTATTTATAACTATATCAAATTGATCGATGGCTTTAACGAATCTACCTAATTTCATATTACAAAATGCAATATTGTTTGTTAAAACTAATACCATATTCTTTGAAAGTGTATCTTCTTCATCACCTAATCCCATTAATCCTGATACATAATTTTTTGCCTAAAAAAATCATCACAATATAAAATTGATTTTAAAAATAAATATTAAAAGAATTTATGACAATAGTTAAAAAAAAAAAATTACATACACAATGATAATTGAAAATTGCACCTTTCCAATCATTTTTCTTAAATGCATCAGTACCTTTTTCTTTATATGCAAATGCTTTTTGAAGTTTTTCTGATGAGGTTGGTGAAAGTTTCTGTAATCCATAAATAAATTTATAAATATTAGTGTATTGCTATAAATTTTTTTGAAAACTTTTAAATTATAACTTACAACATCTTTACCAGCTTGGAGATCAGATTTATAACGGACAATTTCATTACTTCTTGAAACATAATACATTCTTTTATTTTCATCGTTTGTTTTTTTTGACTATTGAGGAGAATTTTTTAAAAAAATAAAATAAAAAAAAAAGTTATTATTTATGTTGTTACTATTGAGATCTCAATATTTAATTAAATACATACGAGTATTTCGAAAGTTCCAATTAATAAATCCATTGAATCGGTATGATTACCCTGTTTATAAAGGACCTTAATCAATATATTTGTGGCATTATTAAGGAGTGAATTTACACTGGGATCATGTTTGAATAATATTGTCTAAAATTATTATTATTTTTTTTTTTTTTTTTTTAAATTGAAATTGGGTGAGCTAGAGTTATAAAAAAAAATA